TGGTTTGTATTTGTTTGCATTTGTCTAACACTATATCAACACTCAATCCATTCAATGCAAGACTATTCACTTATAATCAAATAAATTAGCATTTCTTTCGCTCAAATATATCTAATATTAGTGATTAGTATTAACTGTTTGTCGGATTGTTTGCAAACGCAGGCAAAGGCGCCAAACCTAGTGAAGGGCGAAGAGTTGACACTAAATCGACACTTTTACAACTTTCTTCTCCGGTGGCTTCTGGAGCACTCGCTCTTCGAGAGAGAGGCTTCTCTGATGTCTGATTTCGATCACCAGAATATTCTGAAGCTGTTGGGCGTGTGTGCGGTCGGCAAACCCATGTGTTTGTTGATTGGTAAGCGATGTTTAATAGATTTGATTGACAATATATTTTTATGAATTATTATATTTTATTTATATTCATATCGTTGTAGAGTATATGGGAAGAGGAGATCTGAACGAATTCTTGAGATCGTGTTCGCCATCCAATTACATCATAAGAGCCCCCAATAGTGACACCTATAATGACATTCGTCTAAATCACATGGATTTGGTGAACATCGCCCGACAGATAGCCGCGGGAATGATATACCTGTCCGACCGTAAGTTCGTTCACAGAGATCTGGCGACGAGAAACTGTTTGGTCAGCAACCAAATGGTCGTTAAGATCGCAGACTTTGGTCTCTCGCAGAAGATCTATACCTCCAACTACTACAAGGGCTCAGAACACGACGCCATTCCTATTCGTTGGATGCCTTTGGAGTCGATTCTGTACAACAAATTCAATACAGAATCCGATTGCTGGGCCTATGGGGTACTGCTTTGGGAGATCTTCTCGTTTGCTTTGCAGCCATACTATGGTTACTGAGTGCTTCTTCATCAGTTTATACACTTTCTTCCGTTACAAGAGCACACAGGGCTGAGCACAGGCGGTCGGTAGATAGTTGAGTACTTTTACACAACCTTATTCTTCGGATTGTTATCCGGCGGCTTTAAAACAATTCACAGGACTTTATGTGCTATTTATGAAGATATTTATAAAACTCATCAAAACACTCGCTTTGATAGAAGTCAAGTCCATTTGTAACACTCTATGGCCGTATAAATTGCATATAATTTAAATGATGTCTCTTTCGCTTCTGTACGCTCTGTACTGTTATTTAGTTCATTGATAACCGCCTAATGATGTCTTCCATCATCTCTTCATAAACATTAGGTATTACTTCAATGTCTAAATGCATGAAATGTTGTCTATTTATTGATAAGAAAATCTAATCATAATTTTCAGAATAATGTGTTGTAACTATTAATATAAAATATGAATAGACAGTAATATAGGAATGGCATTCAATTACAAATACTGTATTATATTATTTTTAAGCCGTCTATAGATTACAAGCCTTTTGATCAATATTGAAGTCATTTTCATTTCATTGAAAATTCATTTGAAAAATTATTATTTGAGATATAAAAGAGTTTATTTGTATTGATAATTATAAATGTTCACACAATTAATTACCACTGTTTTTGTAACAATTCACTTTCGAGCAAAGCCATTTAATTTCATTTTTTATTATTAATGATCTAGCTTAAAATATCCATATTTATTGTATAAATCATAAAATTATAAATAATTAATATAAAATATTAATACAACATAATTAAGATAACGTTTAAGCCTCAATGTCTCATATATCATTAAAAGACCATTTTTATAAATATCAAATCTCTGAAATTTCATGAAAACAACAACTTTTACAAATTCATGATTTTTTAAAAATTCTTTACACAATTCTTAAGTCATTTTTATTTAAAGCTATGATACATTTATCGCAAATCATTTTTATTATTAAACACAATGTATTAATAATATATAAATAATTGGATAAAAGTTGATGTGATTTGATTTGCATGAATTGTTTGATATAATGCATACATGACTGGGAGTCACAAATACATAGCTTTATGTCAAACGAGACTCTAATTGCAATCAAAATGTCACTAAAGAAAGGGCACACAGACGTGAAATGTTTATAATTCAATACTTTATTGATTAATATAACGATAATAATAATTTGTGTTACATTTATATAATGTCTAAAACAATTGACTGATTATCAGAAAACACTACCACTAATAATAAAATTAAAACTAAATTTAATTAATATATTTATTAATTTGTAAAATATACAGGATTATAATTTTATATGTATAATAAAAGTGTAAAAATAAATTTTATGTATAAAAGGTAACACACAATCAAAATTTTGTATATTGCACTCTACTTATAGGCTACGGACTACTTTTAGTATCGGTATAATATGAACTATCTTATAATAATCAATATTATATTTGGATTTATGAATTTGAAGTTTATTATTTTTCAAAATGTATCAAATGTGACATTTAAAAAATGAGTTAGACAGATTTTTGTATTCAGTTAATTTCATCTCAAACTCCTTTTTGATTGTGTGCTATCTTTCTATATAGGAATGTATTATATATAAAATATTCTGTAAATGCTTTATGTTTATGACAAAAGGATTTTCATTTGTAATAAAACGCCGAATCAGTAAAAGTTTGAACACATAAGTCGAGCCATTAATTATTGAAATGTGTCCAAAACTTTCTGACATTACATTGTTTTCGCAAAATGTTTGTCTTATGAAAGTGAACAAAAGTTTTATAACTTGAAAGTCATAAATTTATTCCTAAAAATCGTATCACATTTTCAATTAAAATGAAATTTTCTTTTTTAATTTGTTTGCTATTAACAGACAACAAAATATATATTAATTTCTGAATTTTAATTCATTTAATTGAAACGTCTTTCGAAATATAACATTAAAATAAAGCTTTAGGTTTAAAACCAAAACAAGAAAAACATAATTAATTTTAAAGTTTCATTTGATATCCGTCTAAGAATTCCTCGTATTCTGTGTTTCTGTTGGCGTGAGTATTGAGGGAAACATTACTTATCTTTTTGGACCACTCCATGAATATAGAGCTGATTCTGCTGTTGATAGGAGTGGTGGTGAGCTCACTGTCCACCTCTGGTGTAGTCACTGGTGAGGTGAGTGGTGTTGTTACTGGACTCGTCTCAACCGATGAGTTGATATGAAGTTTGGATTTAATCACTCGCATCGCACAGTGAACCCGGAAGTGGACAATAGTCTCGAGCAAATAGCCGGTGTAGTCGTGTCGGGCTCTGTCCAGCCATACCCGCGCTTCACTCAACTCATTCACCGACAGATAAGTTAATCCCAATTCCATGGCTGAGTGCGGCGCCAAAAATGTGTCAAATGTTACCCTTTTCTCACTAATGGCATCAATATTATAATGCATTATATTATTTATTTATTAAGTATTTCAAAACAAATGCATACCATTCAAGCACTTCTTTGAAGCACTGTTGGGCCTAATAAGTGATAATTGATTTTTAAATTAACTATTCCTGTGCTCTATTATATACAAATGCCATACCTGTAAGGGGTAGCCTAAGAAACGCATACACATCCCTCTTAACAGCATAATTAGCGCATAATTATCGAGAGACCGATCGTCGAAATCTATTGCAATGAATGGATGAAAATGAAATTTTTTATTTAAATGAAGCAAAAAAATAGATAGTATTTTCTGTAATTTCTAACATCTATTTATACCAGCATAATTATAAATAACAGAAATTATTATAAAAATCATACTGTACAATAACTAATAATAAGTATATTTGAAATACTGTATGTGTCAAAATAATGTATTCTCTATCATTAAAATAATGGATTAGTTTTCATTACATCATTCAAATTTAGCACATATTTTGTTATTATAACGAATTCACATTAATATTCAATAAAATAATCTAATAATATATTTCAAGTATCACTAAATTATTTTATAAAATCATTCACTACAGCTCAGTAATCAGTAACTAATGATCGCAAAGATTTGTACAAATCTATGAAAATTATGGTTAAAAATAGCTATTTATGTTATTTGT